AGCTCGCAGTTTTACTATACATTTACACATTACAGATAAAACTTGACTTCAAGATCATGTACCCTGACAAGGAGGATTGTTTGTATTCGAAATGGGAAATGTTTACGGAAAAAATTCAACGATTTTATGAAACTAATCTACACAACGATTTCTGCAAACAGCTCTTTTCTCTTGCTAAAGCTTCAACGAACAAAGGTAAATACAGATCAAGTGTAACAAAAAACTCCAAAATCAATCGGCTTTCGTTAATTTCTTAAATTTTGTTTAAAGATACGCAAGACTACATTCTTACAACGCTGCTGAATGGAGTTCTTCCACCTTCATCATGGTTTCAAAGTTCCTGCGGAAAGCTAAGAAAGAAAGCAACAATAGCAGACTCGCAACAAAGCTTTGTTTTACGATTAACTTCAATCAACGATTACGAAAGGAAAATTACTGAGTTGATAAGTATGTACTATTCTGCAGGAATGACAATACAGCCTTTTATAATTGTGGAAGGAATAGCTGAGGGTGATATAACAGGATTTTGTATATATTTTGATAAAACATTGTATAAATTTGAGTCGTTTCTAGAATGCCTAGATATCTGTTTCAAAATTTTTCACACTCTTTGCCTAAAATATCCTCAGGCATGCGAAACTTCTTGGGTTTTTTTACAACAGTTTTTTTTGGAAATTTATACTGAATATGACTGCAAGCCGGCAAATTTAACGTCTCTTTTGAATTTTATGACATATAATTAATTGCTTTAAAATGTTTATTTGCTTCGAGTGCCACAAAAAATTTGCAGAAATTGATACCTTAATATGTCATTTTAAAGTAGATCATAAGCTTTCTACGAAACTTTTACCACTGCAATGCAAGCAAGATAACTGTAATCAATTATTTACAAAATTTACTTCGTTCCGCAATCATTTACAAAATACTCATACAAAATTTAAAAACACATACGAACCAAACGTAACTCCAACTGAAGCTATAACGATACCGATTTTAAGTAATAATTTAAGTACGGAAACAGAACCTCAAGATGTTGATAATTCATCAATGCAAAATATTGTTAATGAAACTAAAAATCTAAAGAAAAAGGCACTGTATTTATCTTTAAGTTTGTATGCTCAAAACAATTTGCCTAGGAAACAAGTAATCGATATTCAGACTATGGTATCTTCTTTGCTTTTGTCNCCGGCAAATTTAACGTCTCTGTTGAATTTTATGACATATAATTAATTGCTTTAAAATGTTTATTTGCTTCAAGTGCCACAAAAAATTTGCAGAAATTGATACCTTAATATGTCATTTTAAAGTAGATCATAAGCTTTCTACGAAACTTTTACCACTGCAATGCAAGCAAGATAACTGTAATCAATTATTTACAAAATTTACTTCGTTCCGCAATCATTTACAAAATACTCATACAAAATTTAAAAACACATACGAACCAAACGTAACTCCAACTGAAGCTATAACGATACCGATTTTAAGTAATAATTTAAGTACGGAAACAGAACCTCA